CGCCTCTCGTTGACTGAGTTGATCTTCTAGGTCGCGGATATGGTACTTCATATACTCCAGGAAAACTTTTTGTCCCTAGATTTTTCCTCTTTTGAGTTGCTGCTTCTTCTCTTCGCTGAGTCCTGGAGGTATACAAATTCCTTGCCGAAACGTTGCCAGTACTTGCAGGAATTCTATGTTTGATTTTGGTGGGAATAATGACGGCCAACTTTTTGCTTCAGGTGGTCAAATATCTGCACTTAATTCTTTGAGTTTGGAGGTTTTGTTACTATATCGCTCAATTCCTATAATGTCTAACAATTTGTCAATTGGTGTATACTCATCATTAACACTATATCGTAGTGTGAACTACAACAGCCTCTCATATTTTAAATAAATTTGTGATACTTCGAGAATACAGGATTCCTCACAGAAATAGCACGGTTTAGATACTTCCAAACCGATAACAAAATGGTGAGGTTTGTTAACGCAATTCTTGATTTTGCAGAGCAAAATTAACGCTAAATTAAGAGACGACATTTGTATAGTCAGTGCCAGCAGAAAATTAGTCTTCTTGAACATTTCAGAGAATGTATGGGTTTTAGAAGAAGAAGAACAACAGATAATTAAAGATAAAAAAAAAGATTGGAAGAACCAAAAGTTCGGAAAAATTATAACGAGCAAGTAAGGGAAGAGTAAAGCCGGAAGATAAAAAAAAGCTAAGCGTACAAAGTTTATTAGCTGAAAGCTGCCTTTCGAGAATTAAATAAATTGGTAAAAAATATGTAACGTCTTTTAAGTTTTAAAAAGTTGCCAGCCTTTTAAACTGCTGTTTTATGTTTTGATAGACCGCTCGGCGAAAACCAAAAGCGCTATTAAAGTTTTAATCTGGGATGCAGCAGCTTAGTAGTTTGTATGTTATACTCCGTGCTGTATACGATGGGCATTTAGCTGCCTTTGTTCATATCTAAAAAATTCTGATTCCTAGAAGTTTTGTTATACATGCTTAAAGAAGAAATACCAACTCCAGGAAAAAAAAAATTGGGTGTTCCTTAAATGAGAAATAGGAAAGAAAAAATTAAGCAATATAATGGCACCAAGAATGCAAAAAACGCAAAAAGAGGCAGGGACAGACAAACTTAAGCCGTTTGTATTTTTTGTTCAAGTAACTAGAAATAAACCTGCAAAAATAATTTGTATTTCTCATATGCACTTAACTTTTTAACCCCTCCAATTTGAACATCCAGGGCGCATTTTATTTTGAATGAGTAGAGCCAAAACTTAGTGAGAAACTTTTAAGCATTAACCTTAATGAGATGCCTCTGCCCTCAAGGGCAAAACCGTGTCCATATTCGTCAAAGTTTCTGTTTGTTTTAGCGCCCTGTAGAAGTGCCCTGCTTTTGTCAACCGAATTGGCTCTTTCCGCTTTAAAAGCTTTGCAGAGTTTGATACAACTTTCAAAGAAAAATGTAGTCCACTGTTTGAACTATTTGCGGGCGTTATTATACTTATATCTGTTCCGCAAAGGGATACAAGCAGAAGTACTGAACCATCTAAATTATAGATTACAATGAGCCTTGCAAACTTGGAAGAATACTACGTCCAACGAACTACTCGAACGACGTTCATTACTGCTACTATCCTGTAAACGTAAGTTACCTGTTCTCATTTAGTAAGAATAAACTAAAGAGAAGGTGGAAAACAGATGCAGAACTTATCTACTTGCAGTCCAGTAAAAACAAAAGATTCCTGTAGGTTTTCTGCAAAATCATGCTATTTCTGCTTGTTTCTATAGAATCCTCTTACTTTTACGTTATTATTATCTCTGAATACATCCTCCAAAAGCTGGGTATGGTATATGTGGACCTACTTGCTAACAAGCAGACCAGGCAGACGAAAAATGGTGATCTGATGAGCACTTTTTTACTTTGGTTCTTCATAGTCGTCCTTTAAATGGTGGCTGGCAACGCTAGTAAAGATTAAGATTTTATTTTTCACTTGCATAAACTATCCATTCTTATTCTGCGTTTTTCCGACAAATGTTACCATCGTTTCTTCCTAAAACCACCTTTAAGCATCTGTTTTCCAGTAGACCTATCTTCATTTATGACAGACGCAATGTACAATACGGGCCAAAATTGTCAACACAAGACAGCTGGGATTAGAAAATAACTTGTTTTTTTAACAGTATGGTCCTCATGTTTCTTTCCCTCTCCTTTAGTAAAAAAGCAGATTTTTTAAATCTATGGGCGAAAACTGCATATTTCAAGATAACAGTGACCACGTTTGTCTTTGCAAAAGGTATTTGCAGATTTTTTGTTCGGTATTTGTTTTTTGAACATTCTTCCCTTTGCCGTCCTTGATTTCAAATTTTCCCTTCCCTCGTAACTTTTTGATTGCATCGGACAGAAGTTCTCTTCAACAGAGTTAAGTTGAGTTGCTATTACTGACTGGCTTTGCCTTACGTCCAGAGCGTGCTTAAGTCCTCCACTCTTTCATGTCAATGGATGATTATACATAACTATAGAACTATTTTACGTCCAGCTGCTTTTGATCAAAACGAATATAATTAGCTATTCGGAAACGATTTTCACGAGAAAAGAAGTATTTATAAAAACCAGCTCTGGCCAGCAGCATTTTTCTAAGGCAAATAATTTTTCACAACATTTTTCAGTTGATACCAGATCTGGACAACATTTATATAGGAAGTGCAATTTATGAGGTGTACCAGT